AATGTTTATAGCAGCACAATTCACAATAGCTAGAATGTGGAACCAACCTAGATGTCCTTCAATAGATGAATGGATTAAAAAAATGTGGCATTTATACACAATGGAATATTACTCAGCACTAAAAAATAACAAGATCATGGCATTTGCAGGCAAATGGATGGCATTAGAGCAGATTATGCTAAGTGAAGTTAGCCAATCCCTAAAAAACAAATGCCAAATGTCTTCTCTGATATAAGGGGGGTGACTCAAAATGGGATAGGGAGGAAGAGCATAATAAGAAGACTACCACTAAATAGGGAAGAGAGGTGAGAAGGAAAAAGAGGGAGAAGGGGAGTTGCACAGAAGATGAAAGGAGAACCTCATTGTTATACAGAATACATATATGACGTTGTGATGAGAAAAAGAAAAAAAAGTGTGTCACATTAGATTGGATAGAGAGAAAGGATGGGAGAGGAGGAGAGGAGTAGGGAGGATAGGAAGGGCAGCAGAATAGAATCGACAAGATGATTGATGTATGTACAGTCCATGTATGTATTATATGTCAAAATACTTTCTGCTGTCATGTATGACAAAAAAAATAAAAATAAATCGTATGGTAAAAAATTTTTTTTTACTTATAAATGGACATATACCTTTTTTTTTTTTAAAGTGGTGCTGAGGATTGAACCCAGTACCTCAAACATGTTAGCAAGCACTCTACCATTGAGCTATAACCACAGCCCCACCAACCCCATTTAAAAAAAATTTCTTTGTAGTTGGACAGAATGCCTTTATTTTGTTTATTTTTATGTGGTACTAAGGATCGAACCCAGTGCCTCATGCATGCTAGGCAAGTACTCTGCCACTGAGCTACAGCCCCAGCCCCTCGACCAACCCTCTTTTAAGTAGAATATAGATAATGTGACTCTGCTGGCACTCATATCAACAATGTCATAATAAGTTCTGAAACAGTTTATGAGGTTTGGTGGACCTTAAGTGGTTTTGCATTAGAGCAGTAGTTCAGAAACCAATTAGAGAAAAATCTTCAGTTTTAAAACTAGGTCATGCTATCCTTATTCAAAGGCAAGCAAAAACTAGACAATTTATATTACTTCCAGGATATATAGTTTTTAAAAAAGGAGAACAGTCAAGTGAAGTGGTACACACCTATAATCCCAGCTACTCAGGAGGCAGAAGCAGGAGGATTGCAAGTTCATGGCCAGCCTTGGCAACTTGTACATCACCAGGAGGAATCAGCCTGATAGATAATCTCTCTATATATTTATATCACTAAATTCCTTTGAGTAGAGTCCAAAGAGAACCTGATTAAAAAGTAAAAATTTTACCTGACAACACTGGTACTACAGGGAAGTTAAGGGCACAGAATAACAAAGTTAGAGTTCCAAGTCACTCTACCTCTTGGGACCTCAGTTTCCTTATTTATAAAAATGAGGTAGTTTTTAGATATAAGTAATCACTAAGGAAGTAGTTATTCCAACCTAGGGAAACCAATCAACTTCATTAGAATAAGAAAGTAAAAGATGATATAAACCACTTATGTAAAACTCAAATCTACTGTGTTGGTAGAAAATAGCAAAAAGAAAATGAAGAAGCACTGGAGTAAGGCATGGACTTAAAAAAATATAGTAAGATACTTCAGATTAGATCACTGTTTAAAACCTTTTTTTAGCTCAAAAGAGTGTGTTAAATAAGAAATAAAACTAAATCAGGCATGGTACCACACACCTGTAATCCCAGGGACTCAAGTGGCTGAGGCAAGAGGGCCACAAGTTCGAGGACAGCATCAGCAACTTAGCAAGACCCTGTCTCAAAAAAAAAAAAAAAGAGCTAGAGATGTAGCTCAGTGGTAAAGCACCCTTGGGTTCTGTCCCCAAACCAGATAAATATTCTTTAAATTTTATATATATATATATATGTGTGTGTGTGTGTGTGTGTGTGTATAAAAAGTTGGTATACTATGAAATAAACTCTTCATTTTGAAGAAAAAAATCATATTTGCCAAAATAATGAATTTTCAAAAAGTCATCAGGCATGGTAGTGCATAACTATAATCCCAGAGGCTCAGGAGGGCTGAGACAGGAGAATTGCAAGTTCAAAGCCAGCCTCAGCAATTTAGTGAGGCCCTAGGCAACTTAGCAAGACTCCATCTCAAAACAAAAAAAATAACAAGGACTGGTGATGTGGCTCAGGTCATGTGCCTATGGGTTCAATACCTAGTACCAAAATAAATAAATAAATAAAAAGTCATCAGAAATATTTAAGATATTTCTCACTATTTTAGAAAAATCATTTGGAGTCTATATGCTGAAATTGAACCTAGGGCCTTTTGCATGCTAAACTCTATCACTGAGCTACACCCCAGCCCTAGAAAAATGATTCAAATAAATGCACAAACACGTAACATTCTGCATGTAAGATACTAGGTTTTATTTTTTTAACATACTTGATTATAGTTATTGATACAAACCAACTCTGATAAAATTCTAATCCAAAGCACAACTATTTATCTGCTTCTTTTTATTTTACTATTTTGTATTTTTGTATGGTGCTGAAGATTGAACCCAAGGTCTTACATAGGCTAGGCAAGCACTCTACCACTGAACTATACCCCATCTCATTATTTTCTTTTTAAGAGATAAGTTCTTAATATACTCCCAGGCTGGCTCAGAAATCCTGGGCTCAGATCACCTTCTTGCCTTAGCCTTCCTGATAGCTGGGATATCAGCATGTGCCACCAAGCCCAGATCCTCTGGTTCTAATATTGCTTCAAAACCTTAAAGTTCCATTTTAAGTAAGAAACCAAAATGTGACATACAGTGCATGTAATTCTTCCTGAGACCAATTAAATACTGCTCAATTTTCACTCAAATCATTCTTACAAATCTTTTGACCATTTTTGCCTAGTCAATAGTACCATCAGAGATGAAGAGACAAGAGAGAAACTCAATCCAGTGCATTTGGCTCTTACTAGCATCACTGGTAAATGGTTTGCTGAGAAACAACTGGAAATCCCCATACTACTAGTCAAGATCAGGTTTGGTGATATTTTGTGGATTTAATTTCTTCCCAATCCCCTTTTCAGGAGATAATACAAAATTGATTACATTCAATAGCCAGCCACATGATACCAGCTACTGGGAAGGCTGAGACGGGGTCTTGAGTCCTCGTGTTCAAGACCAATTTGGGCAACACAACAAGATTCCATCTTAAACCACAACAACAAAAAACAAAAAAAAAAGGAAAAGAAACTGTATTCAGATTATCCTCTGAGACTGAACTTGGGTAGACAGCATGAGAATAAAAAGAGTAATTGTTAAAATCAGTTGGCTCTGCCTACCAAATACAGCCTCCCCTGCCCTACTCCCCCCCAAAAGAAAACAAATTCTAGAAAGCAGATTCCTCCTTTCCTCTGTTTACCAAACTAATCTTATCTTGCAGTGTCTCTTCAGTTTATTAAAATAGTCCAACTTCAGAATGATGGGAAGAAATATACCTTAATATTAAAAACCCCCACTCTCGAAAAATCCCTGTGAAAATTTGGTAAGATCCTCTTCCATTAGAAACTCTCCTTTACACAACATAGAGGTTTCATGGACTTCCTTGAAATTCCAAGAAAAATCCTTGCTTTAGCCTAGAGAGGGGTGTAATCAATAATCCTATCTCCTCCTTCATGAATGGGACCCACCCTAAACATCTGAAATGTAAAGAGCAACAAAATGAAGAGTACCTAACATCTCATTTCTGTCAAATTGTCAGTTCTGTCATCTTTCAGCATGGGTCAAAGGATTTCCATTTCATTTCTCTGACCACTGAAATTGGGCCCAATCTGATCCTAGCTCCATTTCTCTTTCTTTTAAAACTGACCTAAAAGCCTACAAACAAATCAATTCATAAGTGAAGGGTAAGTGTGTGAACACACACCTTCCCCCTCACTACCCCTTTCTGATCCAAGATGTCCAGGATACTGCCAACTGCTGTGGCTATGAACTGGATCAGAAGCAAGAACAGAAATAAGGACACTCTCCATTCAACCTTTTTGTCTGGAGCACTTCCTAGATTTTTTCATTGGCATTTTCTATCAAGATACAAGACTCATTTTTCATTAAAATTGCAAGACTTTCACTTTGCTGTTTCAAATAGTGTAATTGATCTGCATTGTCTTCTTAAATAACCCAACTGGTGAAGGACACTGCAGCTTTAAATATTTCAGTGCTAGCTAGCAAATAGACTCCATTGCAATATGGCTCTGAAGGTCGTGTCCTATTGTCTCCTTTGCAAAGGAAAAAAATTCTAAATCCTTCTAGGTAACATGCGAATATTTGTCCGTAGAATTTACACTCTTCCACCTCAGTCTGGATATAGTTCTGGGTGTTTATTGGAATCTCACACTCATAATTTTCCCGGCAGGGGAAATATGCCGATTGTTATTAATGCTTCCAACACCACAGTGAGACATAAACACATGTGTTCACATTAGTTTAATTGAGCATATGCAACTATCTGAAATAGCACCACTAAAGAGTTGTTAACCTCTTTAAGAGTAAGGCCAGAGTGGTTTGGGTGTGGATGGCTTTCAGGCAGCACCCTGAGCCTAGATTGCATAACCTGAAATGTGTAGCCACTTAAAATGATAGGAATCTCAGCCTACTCATCCTGGGACTATGCCGGCACCTTGCCATACACTTGCAGCTTTATTTGTCAAAGGAGGTCAAATGAGAAGCACAATCACAGTGAAAGAGAAAATAAACTAAAAGAAAAAGGTTCTTTTCTACTCCAACAGGCACATACACAATTCCCGGAGCAGACACAATGTTCCCTCCACCTCATCTCCCCCAATCCCCGCCCCTGGGAAGTAGAACAGCCCCAGTTAAAAGGAGGCTTTGGGGGGAGCTGGACATTGCTGCCCTTTTTAAGTAAAAACGGGTGGGGCGACCTAAAGGCAGAGAAGGAGGAAGAAGAAAGGTAGGGGTAAGACGGGTGCAGGTGCACCCGAGCATTACCTGAAATGGTAACAGATTGTTACCATTATCGGTCCGGAAAGCGTTATCCTCCATCCAGGACTTGGAGGTGAGCGGAGCCGCACGAGGGAACTTGGGAGGCGCGATCACATTGCTGGAGAAGGGTTTTTTGAGCGGAGAGATGGGGTTTAGTGGGGAGGGTACCCCTACGCCCACGCCCACGCCTACGCCAACCGCTCGGCGAGGGTCCCGGCCTGCCTGCAGGCCACCCCACGGGTTGGACGGTGCGCTCCAGGCGGCGTTCACGCTTTGGTGCGTGTTCCAGCTGGATGAGGCCGACGAGGCCGCCGCTGCCGCAGCGGCGGCCGCAGCGGCAGAAGACGAGGACGGCTTGCTGGTCATGATGGGCTGGTGGCCGTAAGCCGCGGCAGCGCTTCTCTGCGCGTAGGGCGCCTGGCTAGGGCTGGCGGGCGACCGGCGCTGCTGCGGGGGCTGCGCCTGGGGTGGCTGCGCCGGCTGCGCCGGCTGCGGTGCTGGCGGCGGCTGCTGGTGGTGCTGGGTCTGCGCCAGGCCGATCTGCGGGGAGAAAGTGCCTCCGAAGACTGGGTTGACATGGTGCGGGAAGTTCTGGAAGAGCATGGTCCCGTTGACTGGGGTGATCCCCTGGAAGAAGCTGTCCTCCACCGCGTTCGTGGTGCCGGTGGACCAGGTGCTGCCGAACGACGGCGACAGCGAAGCGCCCGGCGCGGTGGGCTCCTGCGGCGGCGGCGGCGGCGGCTGCTGTGGGGGCTGATGGAAACTCAAGCCCGGCAGGAGCGGCGATTCCATCTGCATCTTGTCCGGGCCGTTGGGGGCCGGCGGGGCCGCGGCGGGGCTAAGGGCCGGCACTGCGCTACTGTCCTCCGGTTTGGGGGTCTCTGAGGAGAGGGGCGTGGACGGGGCTTCGGCTACGCTGGGCTCGGGCTGGGGCTGCTGCTGCTGCTGCCGCTGCTGCTGGGGCTGGGGCTGGGTTTTGCTTTTGTCCATCAGTAAATCATCCTGCATGGTTTGCGCAGCTGAAACGGGAAAAAGAGAGAGATGCGTTATTGTCGAAGTGATCCTTAATGCCCCTCGCTAAAGCGGGCGGTGTTTTACTTGCGAAAATCCAGTGCCACCGCTATTAGCCAATTGCAAGCAAATCCATAATCTCCCATTTAACAGGTCGGGCTGGGGAGAGGGAACACAAGCAAGGTCTCTAAAAATACTGTGAGAGCGTCTTCACCCTTTCTGATGTCTTGGTTCCTTTTCTGTATTAGTGAGAGATGTGCTTATAAGATAGAAAGACAGCAATTTCGCCACGTCTCTTTTCCCTTTACCGGAACTCAGAGCATTCACCCTGCAATGAGAAACTGATTCTGGTTCCTGTTTTTTCCCAAGCACCACCCTCCCCAAGTTATTTGCATACGTCAATAAATACTGCTGCGTCCTTCAGCAAGGTTAAAAAGACACCACACACACACACACACACACACACACACACACACACACACACGACCCTTTCTTCCCCCTTCCTCAGCTCGAGCACTTTAAAGAAAACGGCCGTCTTAAACCTCTTGATTAACAAACTGCTTTCTTGCCTCGATAATTGTTTCATTTAGCTACAGCGAACCAGCACGAGGGAGGAAATCCTTGGCATTTGTTAGAAGGACTCAGCTGCACAATCATTCTCTGGCCTCGCAGTAGCGGCAGCTACTCCATTTTGTTGGGAGACATTTTATAAAAATAATATATATACACACATATATATTATATCACCGCTTTTAAAAAGGTGAAACCTACTGAAACGTCTGGAAGTGCTTGCTTCTTGTTACTCTAAGGATTATGGTTTTTTCTGCTTAATCTCCAATTTTCTTGTTTCCAATTCTGCCGCACAAGAGGATTTCCTGGCTTCTCAGTGCTTCAGGTCTCAACAGGAGCCTGAGAATTTCTCTGCAGAGTGGAGAAATGCTTCTAGTTGGATTTGAGGTCAGAGAGAGAGGGAAAGAGCATGGGGGGGGGGGGAAGGCGACTGTGAGATGGACTGGGGGCGGGGCTTTAAAAATCCGTCTGAGATTTAAGTAGACAGTCAAGATAATTCTGGGTTGCTAGATTTCATTTTTGAATCCTCCTGCTGCCTCCTTGGTCACAAGATTGGCAAATTTAGAATCCATTCTCTTATCTCTAGTATTAGCAGTGGAAGACTATGGTTTGATGACCCTGAATTACCATATGCTAGCAAAAGTGTTAAAAATAGAGGAGTACAAAGTCCCAAATTCTCATACATTGTAATTATAGTGCATTGCCACCGCTGCTTCATGTAGCCATATAAGGAGTGTATGGTATTTTCCATTTCGCATAGAATTATATTCACCTCTGTCATACAGCCTGTTTTCTTATTCAAGATGAAAATAGTAATTGCTCAAAACCAAGAGATTTCCATACATGTAGTTACCATTGAGTTAGCTTGTTCCTTTCATGTTAATTACTTTAGATATACAAATATTACAGGGATGAGACTGTGCAAACAAATATTTTGAAATGTTAAAGGAGCATATGACCAAACATATCATTATTTTTAGATGATGATTCAGTACAATTGCAACAAAGTTATTAATATATTTAATATAGTTAATTAACATGTACTGGAGAACATCTTTCTTAGGACATTTGTAAAAGGGCATTTTGATACACATAGAAGCTGCCTTTGGATATCCTAATGACTAATAACTACTATAAAATGGAGATATTATTACTCAACTATTAAGTAAAAGATGTCCAACTGAGAAATTACATTAAAAGTAGCTCCACTATTTTATTAAAGACATCAAAAATGCTTAATTGGTATTTCATGTCAAAGTTTCATACACAAAAAAGTGGGCAAAAGCAAATGCTTCACAGCCACCTGATTCTTCTTTCTACTTCTCAAATCCCTGCTTCTCCCCTTCCCCTAAAAAGAATCCCAATCCAATATACCATACATCACATATTGCCAGATAATACCAATAAAACCTACTTAAAATTGCTTTTATGTTCCTCACTTCTCTTGGTCTAAAACAATGGTTTTGATCAGTATTGTAAAATACAACACAAAGAGGCAAGTGAACCTTAGATTCAGACAGCACAAAGTTCTATCACTGCCAAAGAAGATGGTCATAGAAGGAGACATTTTCATACTTGGTTTAAACAATGCTGCAGTAAATCATTATAATTCTGGTTTTTGAGCTGCTTCCAGTGAGCTAGAACTGCCTTTATAATAGCCATATCATCATATGGCTGAAATACACATTGATTATAGTTTTAATATCATCCAGCTTTTCTGGATCCAATGCTTTTTGTTAATACCTTCAGTTTAAACTACATGCTATCGATGAAAAAATTAATGCTGTATTATAGCAAAAAAAGGCAAAGAAGTAAACTGGAATAAAAATATTTCATAATTTCATTATGAAATTCAAAAACTCATTGAATTTTTGAAATGTTATACCAGGAACACATTTCTCAATATTCCTTAAAGATAAAAATTTCACTTTCTGCATAAATTCACTCTGTCAAGGTCAAGACCCACCTTTAATAAATAAGACCCTTTAAACAAAAGGTAGATTAAGATGAAATTTACAAAGTTAACATGCAATGTCTCTCAATAACTGCCTGTATAGTTTGTTTGATTTGGAGTTTATTTTGCTTATTTACAGCAAAGTCTGAGAAATAGATACCTCCTTCCCCTCCCCCACCACACACACAATAGATCGGCTTTTACATGCATTAACCCAATTTCAAGTAACAAATTTGTAGTAGCAGTTACCTTTGAGTGTCCAGTTTTTAAGGATCGATAAAATTTTAAAGTATACGGTATTTATTTTCTTCTTTCAGGTTGATTATGTGACCGCTCTGGCAAAAGCACTTTGACAACTGTAAGAAGAGAGGGCATGCGCACACAGGGAACTGTGGGGGCTGAAGTCCTTCACAAGGTACTCTGCCTGACTTCAGCACGTTCAGCCAGGAAAGGAGGAAGCCTCTAAAATGCATATTGCAAGGGAAAGAGGTTGTTCCCGGATTGCATATATCCTCCTAGCCAATCTAAATCATGAGTTGTTGAAATGAAGAGGAAGAAAAATAAACTGGTTTATCAACTTGATTTAGGAAGCCAGGTTAAAAGAGAAACTGGATTGTAGGATTCAAAATAAATATACCCTGCAGAGCTACCTTAAATGGTATTAGAATATTAATGACTGGGTAGCCAGCAATAGGCACCCTACCAGAGTAAAAGAGATTGGGGTGAGGAGGAATAAACAAGGGTGTGGGGGATGGGGAATGGTGAATACTTAAAATCTAATCATATTTAAAGGAAACATTTTTAATATAGAATGAAAAGCATCTTAATACAAAATGTGATATTAACCTCAGAGGTCAGGTAAAAATAGGTTTTAATAACAAATTTTTGACATCCACCAAAATTTCTTTTGAATTTTCAAGGTAGGCACCACTTATTTTAAGATTTTACATAATGCGCTCTAAATCAACTCACCTCCTTATTTTTACTTGTCAAAATGAAAGCTTACCTTGCATTATTCATACAATGATTAATCAAATAAAATTCAACACTTTCATACTAAAATAATATTTGTTGAAATACTAATAACTTGGCATGTTTAGTATTTCACTTCATAGGATAGTGACTTCTTTATTCAGTACAAAAAGTAGGTCGTTTCTGTTAAAAATTTTTGGTATTTTTTTGTATTTTAACCTCATGATTTTAAGGCTGAAATCTCACAATATATTAACATCAATTGTTATAATCTATAGCTTTTAAGAGCAATAGTTCAACTGCTGATTTGCTCATATAGGCAGAATATAATATTTCTTGTGGAATCTGGTTTAGTGCCATTCACCCAAGGGGTTCAGAGTAAATGTCAGCTGATGACTATGCTGATTGAACATGGAGCTGAAAATGTTAAACATCATTTTAACTGTCTTAATTTTTTATTTTCCTTCTTCACCAATTAGAACTAAAGTATTACCACAGACCACTAATTTGCCCCATTTAGTAGTCTTTGCCTCTAATATTTTTCTTTCCTGTTTGTTTGTTTTGGTACTGGGAACTGAACCCAGGGGTGCTTTATCGCTGAGCTACAACCTAAGACCTTTTTTTTTTTTTTAAAAAAATTCCAGTTTTTTTTGCTTCCCAGCTATGTGACCTTCGGAAAATCACCTTATCACCTCTTGAGCGATACATGCCTTGGTTTCTTCATCTGTAAAATGGGGCAAAATATTACTTTCAAGCATTGTTTGAAGAAATTAAATGAGATAAAGGCCTTGGCACATAACTGTTTCATTCCTGCCCTAAACCCTGCCACTGGTCCCAGCAGCTTCCTGCACCTGGGTCACCTTGGAACCTGTATTCAGGGTCTTGGTGTGTTGATCCCCCCAATCTTTTATTTATTTGTTTGTTTGTTTGTTTATTATTTTGAGACAGGGTTTCACTAAGGCACTTAGGGATTTGTTAAATTGCTGAGGGTGTCCTCAAACTTGTGATTCTACTGTCTCAGCCTCCTGAGCTGCTAGGATTACAGGCCAGTATGTTCCACTCTATCACTATGGGGGGCGGGGGGGGGGACCTAACAAATCAAAGAAGAATCATTCTGAATGAATGTGCCAAAAGCTCTGTGTAAAATAACTAAACACTTACTTATTACTGTTGTGACCATAATTTATAAGCTTATATTTCCTTTTTTTTTTTTCTCTTCCTCTGTCTTCCTAAAGAAGTGTCACCCGGGGCTGGGGATGTGGCTCAAGCGGTGGCGAGGGGCTGGGGATGTGGCTCAAGCGGTGGCGCGCTCGCCTGGCATGCATGGGTTCGGTCCTCAGCACCACATACAATACAAAGATGTTGTATCCGCTGATAACTAAAAAATAAATATTAAAATTAAAAAAAAAAAGAAGTGTCACCTGTAAATGTATGTGGCACATGCCTGTAATCCCAGAGACTGGGAAGGCTGAGATAGGAGGCTCACAATGCCAATGTCAGCAACTTAATGAG